AAAAAAAAAAAAAAAAAAAAAAAAAAAAAAAAAAAAAAAAAAAAAAAAAAAAAAAAAAAAAAAAAACTCTATATTATCCTCTCAAGTCTCCACCACCAGAATTAACAATATTGTAATTTTTTTTTTTACTTTATTATTATTATTTATTTACAAATTATTTTGGTTGGAATAATTATTATATGATGTTATTTAATTTATTTGTTTTGTTGTTGTGTAGGTGACCTCGTTCCATTTGTTGGTATATTATAGTGGTCCCATAATATTCAAACCAAACCATGCATGAAATTACAAAATAACGCTTAAATATCTTAACTTATCATGATTATTACGTGACGTTCTATCTTTTTCATTAATCATTTAACAATAAAATTAAAAAATATATATATATATATATATATATAACTAATAAAATTTAAAATTAGGAGGAACCGGGATTGGAGCAGCACGCTTACCTCAACCAATGTCTTTCACCTTTGTGTGATGCAATCGATGCCTTTTATTTGTGTCTCTTTCCACGTTTTTGCTTTGATACTCTTACTGTTTTATTATTATTATTTTAATTTCAACCCAAATTTGGATTCAGCTCTGTATGTGTTGCAACTGTGCCACCTATACAGGTAGGTCGTCTATATAAATTTTTTTAAGTCAGACATGCTTGATTTGAAGTTTATATGATTGGGTGGTCGATAATTTTTTTTTTTATTATTATTAATTTAGCTTTAACTTTCACTTTTTAATACAATCATGATTCAAATAATTGATTATTAATTTAAATTATAATCACAACAACCAATGATTAGCTTAATATTGATTAATCTTAATCTTCATAATCACTCATTGATGCTTGTAATATTGCTCGTGCTATATCATTAATCACTTTTAAAAAATTTTAATTTCTAATATTTTAACTCCACACTTGTATTTGTTGGGCTTTATTCGACTTTGGAAAATTAGGCCCAATTGTTATGATGGGCCCATAAACGACATCGGGCTATTTCCAATGGGCCTAAGAAAAACAAAGAGCCTTATTTATTTATTTATTTATATTAATCACACGAGGAGTGATTAGGAAAATTAAAGAAGCGAGAGCAGAAGGGGACGATTTGTCTCTAAATCCTTCGTAACGCCGCAAGTTTTTCCAAATTTGACGGCCATTAACACGCTCATTCCGCCGCCGGCCAGCTTCTCCTTCGCCGCCCATCTCTTTACCTTCCCCGACGTCGTTTTAGGGACGTTTCCCCTTTTCACCAGAACCACAAGCCCTAACTCAATTCCCTCTTCAATTAACGCCGCTTTTCTAATCCCTTCGCAGATTTTCCTCAGCGATTCCGCGTCGTTTTTGTCCTGTCTCTGCATTTCGGCCACGACGGCGATCGTATCGGATATCTTGATGGCGGCGAGGCAGCCGCCTCGGAGATAGGAGGAGCAATTGTTGTAAGCTATGGATTCGATGTAATGAGGATGGATTTCTTGGTTGTTGGTGAGTGTAATGACGTCTGAGCACCGTCCGATCACGAAGAGGAACCGATCTGTGCCTTTGATTACTCCTCTGTCGCCGGTACGGACGAATTTATGGCTTGATTTGTTGCTGAGTTTGCAGTGGAATGTGTCTCTGGTTAGCGATGGATGGCCGAGGTAACCTGAGGCATTACTCGGCGACGAGATCCAAATCTCTCCTTCAACGCCGTCTTCGACTATCTCCCCTGTCTCGCCGTTAACAACCACCACCTCAATCTCCGATGACGATTCATCCATCAGCCTTGCACTAGGCAACAACTTCCGGTAACTCGGCATCGCCGGGAACCACCGCCGCCGGCCTCCTTCTCCGCCACTCCACGCCGTGGAAACAAAAGTGCAATTCTCCGCCAAACCGTACGAAGGCGAAACGCAACCCGGGTTCAACCCGACCGCCTTAAACACATCCACAAACTCCTCGACTCCCGACCGGTAAACCGGTTCATTAATCAAAATCAAATTCCTCAAACTGCACAAATCCAAACCCCCACACGGAGGAGTTTCTTCCTTCACCCGCTTGAGGACGAGTGGGAGAGTGAAAGACGGTACGGGAGTACACGTGGCTTTGAAGGTAGTGATGAGGTGGAGCCATGTGATTGGGCGGGTGACGAAGGAGATAGGTGAGGTTAGCACGCACGTAGCGCCACTGACGACGGTTAAGAGAAGGAACATGAGGCCACAGTCGTGGTACTGTGGGAGCCATGAGACGATGACGTCGTTTGGGTTTAAGTCGTAGGCCTTTCTCGCCGCTCGGACGTTGTGGGCAGCGGCGCCGGCTGTAACCACCACCGGCTTTGGAATTCCGGTGGCTCCTGAGGTGTATTGGATTAGATAAGGCTCCTCCGGCTTACAGCCGTAGTATGAAGAATTGGAGTGATAAAAGAAGGGCTGATCTTTACTAGAAATTACTGAAACCACTTGATCGGCCTCCGCCGCCGTGCAAGTTCTTAAAGTCTCCATTGATATCCATTGCACGCTCTGCAATAACAATGCCAACTTCCCGTCTGTCGGGGACAAAGAGAGGTATCTATACAATAATAAATAATAGATTTAACTATATTTTATTTTTGAATATACATATATTATATTCGATTCTTTATTATAAGCAAATATATGAAAAAAAATTATATATATATTATATATGACTTTTTATTACAGACAAATATCTAATTTGTCCGATATAGTTAAGGATATTTTACATTTTTACTCCTATATATATTATATTTGATATTTTATTACCGATATATATATTGTATAATATTTAGCATTCTATTATAATTTATCACAGGTATCATAATTTATTATAAGTATCATATTTGATCATTTATTAAATATTTACATATATTTACTATATGTCCTTTTTTGGTAATTTATTTAATTTTTTTTGTAATTTATTTGATTATATAATTTATATTTTTTTAATAATTTATAACGATTATAAATAGACAATTT